CCGCGCCGGGGCGGGCCCGAGGGCGGCGCCTGGGCCCGAGGGCGCGAACCTAGCCTTTCCGTGGTTTGCTCCTGGGGGAAGGAGGGTAATGCTAACTTATCTGAGAAGTGGGGCTTCGCGTCCAGCGCTCGCGGGGAGGTCGTGAGCGAGGAAGCCGTGCCCAGCCCGCAAAGGAACGCTCTCGACTTGAAGGTGACCGTCACCGCCCACTGGTCTCGGGGGCGAGGTAATCGGAGTCTCTAGAATGTGAAAAATCCGAGTCCGTGTCCAGGCACGCTCGGCGTCGCCTACCTTTCCAGACGGCCTCACCTGTCGCGCGTCCGTCCCCCCCCTGGGCGGCGCTGGAGGAGGCCCCACCCCTGCGAGCTCCTCCAGCCCCCGAGACCCCGGCCGCGTCGGGGTCGCCGGACGGCGTCGGGCCCTGCGGCGGCCCCGGTCCCGAGCGCTCTGCGCAGCCTGCAGCTGCAGCGCGGGCCGGGGCTCCGCATGTGCGCCCGAGTCTGGGACCATGAACTCGGGGCTGCGCCGGTGCCCCTTCACTCTTTGCGCTCAAGGCCTGGCGCTCTACCACTTGAGCCACAGCTCCACTTTTGGTTTTTTGGATGGTTACTTGGAGAGGAGAGTCTCCACAGACTTTTCCTGCCCGGCCTGGTTTCGAACCTCGACCCGCAGGTCTCACAGGTGCCCGGCTACATCTTCAAAACAAACCAAAAACGCTGGTTTCTGAAGTTGCCTGCAGCCGTCGTCAGCCCTGTGTGTCCACAGTTTTCAAAATACTAATAACGCCAAGCCCCGCCAGGCTCGCCGGGCACCTCCCCCTCCGCCAGGCCTCCGCGCGCGGGGCGGGGCGGGGCGGCGCGGGGGGTGCGTCCTGTCCCGTCCGGCCTCCGGGTGCGAGCGCGCGGCGCACGTCCTCCGGGCCCCGCCGAGGGGGAGCCGCGAGGCGGCCCGCGCCCGGGAGGCCCGCGCGGGCGGGGTGGGGCGCGCGCGCCAGCCTCCACGCCGGGGCGCGCTCGTGTCCCCGAGGCCGGGCCCCGGGTGCACTCAGTCCGGCGGCGCACGCAGACTCCCCTCATTGCATTGAATCGTCTTCACCGCCAGCATGTCCTCAGTCCCCGTCGGCGTCCCCCTCTCTCGTGTGCCCGGTAGAACGACCCCGTTCGCGTCCCATTTCGCAGATAAGAAAACTGAGGTCCCGGAAGAGCGGCGCCGAGGCCGGGGCGCCCCCCTCGGCGGAGCGCCGTGCCCCGCGCGGCCGGCGGGTGGCGCCTCAGCCCCGTATCCGGATGCTCGGCCCGCACCGGCCCCGAAAGGAAGTGTGACCCCGGGGCTGGGCAGGGCGGCCGCCTTCCTCTCTCTAGGTGAAAGGTCGGGATCCCAGCTTGCTTTCCCCGCGACAGCCCTGGACCGGGCGAGGGCTGCTGCATCCCTGGCGCCATTCACAAACTGGCCACCTTAAGCCAGGGATGTCTAGGGGTACTGCCAGCACCCCCCCATTGTCACCCCTGAAAGCCCTCGCCGAGATGGGTCTGTTCCCAGTGGAGACAGCCCAGGCTCAGGCATCTGCTGAGAGCCCTTTGGGTAGGAGTCGAGAGGCTGGGCCCACCCCAACAGCAGAGGGTAGCTTTACCCACTGAATCTCTTCCTAGGTCGTTGTCTAGTGGGTTTGCTTCCCCAGGAAGAGGAGAGGTGAGGCTACCAGGGGAAAGGAACGGAGGGGAAGTAGCAGGATCTGGTGGACCAGTGTCTCCAGCCAGCACCTGCGCTTAGCACCTGCCTCGCAGGCCCGGGAAAGTGCAGAAAGGCAGCGCAGGGGGCCCCTAGCAGGCTCCTGGGGGGTGGCCAGACCCCCTGCTCACCCTGGGATCCAGGTGGAGGACAGGCTGGAGGAGAACCACCGCGGCTCCCCACCCTCGAGTTCCACTGGAAGCCCGGGGACCAGACCCAAACCCTGGCCTTCCCATGGGAAGTAACTGACCTTGGCCTGACCTCATCACTAACCCTTGCCCTAGGCCCAGAGCAAACCTCCTTTTCTGGCCCTCCTTATCTTCCGGAGCCCAAGTCCTAAATCCCCGGCTTAACTGTTCCTTTGCGCAGCCCATCCGCCCTAGTCCCTCTGCCCCACCATATCTGAAAACTCCCCAGAGGATGGCCCTGCATTTGCCACTCACCAGAAACCCCTCTGTCCCACACTCTCCCCATGCTGCCCCTTCCTTTAGCTTTCAAAACCCCGTGGAGCCCAGCGCTGGATACCTTGTGATCTTAGGGACCCAGGAGGCTGAGATCTGAAGATCATGGTTCAAAGCCCTCCTCCCCTGAAGAATTGAGTCCTGCCTTATTCCCCAGGGTCAAGCAAAGAACCAGGTATGTGCTCAGGTGCTTGTCCACAGGCAGGTCATTCTGAGCTTGACCCCAGAAGTCAACAGCCCCCACACCCAGCATTCCTCTGTGGGCTGGGCCAAGGACAGCGCTCTTGTTCCCAAAGAGTTTTATTCTCTGCTTCCTTGTTAAGCCTTATATAAGCCCACCCACCCACCCCCAAATCCAGTCCCTTGCACAACCTCCAAACCTGCAGGAAGGCCTGTGACCCTGGCTTTTCCTCAATAAACAGTCCTTGGCTGTTGAGGATCCAGTCCAGCCTATTCCTTTTCCCATCTCCTCTATTTTCCCAACACCCCCCTCCAACATTTGAGCTGTGGCTCAAATGGAAAGAGCACTAGCATTGAAGTGGGGGGTGGGGAGTTCCGGGACAGCGCCCAGGCCCTGAGTTCGAGTCCCGGACCAGCACCCCGCGCACCACACGACACACACACAGAGCCAGGCAGTGATTGGTGCCTGTTTTCTTAGCTCTCAAGAGCCAGCAGGAGCGCCTTGACAGCTGACAGCCTCTGTCTAGTTCAGCGCTTGGCCTTCCTCCACCTCTAGCACAGGACTTGGCACCCAAGTAACGCAGAGAATGATCAGAGATAGAGAGGTGCACATCAGGTGCAGATGGGGGCATTTTGGGAAACTTCAGAAGGGATCTGGGAGAGAAATGCCTTTCTTCGCTCCCCTCCCTCCACTCCCCTTCTTCAGCTGTCTTGGGGCCCCATCTTCTTTCTCCAGGGATAAGACCCGAAAACTGTGGTGGGCAGCCCTCTTGCCGGGTCACTCTCTCTTACACTGGGCTCCAGTAGCGCCAGACCTGTCCCAGCCTTTCTCCCCCTTGTGGGCCCCACCTTCCTGTTGCCCTTTTAAGAAAGAGGAAATTCTTCTCATAAACAAGCGCCCAGTCAGAGCACGGAGCCCAGCTGGGTCCCCGAAAAATCGAGGCTGCTTTCAAGGGCCGCACCCACACCAGCTTTAACTCTGGGGAAGGACTGGACGGCACCCCGCCGCCGCTGCTCCCCGCAGGTTCTTGCCCGGGGTTCCAGGGACCTGAAGAGTCTGGAGGAGGAGGGACTTAGGGGAGCCTAGAAACTGCTCAGGGAGCGTCTGTAAAGTACGGGTTGTGCTTAGGGCGAAGGTGTGCCCCGCCGCTCCCAGGAGTGAAGGGGGTTCCCCGCCCACGCAGCTAGCCCCTCCTCCTCCCCCAGTGGAGGTGGAGTCTGCGGCCCCTACGAGAGAGGCGGCAGCGCCTTCTCCCCAGCTTGGCCCGAAGTGGTGAGCCCAGGCCGGAGGGCCCGAGCTGCTGGGAGTCAGAGCCAAGCGAGCCTTGAAGGTGCAGTGTGGCAGTCCGACCCCCATCCCCTTTGATGGCTAAAGAACTAGGCCTCGAAGGCACGGACTCTTGGGTTCCTTATGACCTGGTACGGAAGGAGAGAGAATCTTAGTTTTCCTGCCTAGAAAATGGGTTTGCAGCCGGGCTCTGGTAGCTCACGTCTGTCATCCCAGCCACTCAGGAGGCTCAGATCTGAGGATCGCAGTTCAAAGCCAGCCTGGGCAGGAAGTCTGTGAGACTCATTTCCAATAAACCACCGGAAAACCAGAAGTAGTGCTGTGGCTCAAGTGATAGAGCGCTGGCCTTGAGCTGAAGAGCACAGGGACAGCGCCCAGGCCCAGAGTCCAAGCCCCACGACTGACCAAGAAAAGAAAATGGGTTTGTGGGCACACCGGAGAAACTGCTGAGAGTAGGAGCAACTTTAGATTTTGCGCTTTTTGGGGTTTCCTTCCCAGCCCTTCAGGCAGCTGACATTTCCTAAGCAATGATCATTTAAAGTTCCAGTCGGGTTCTGTGTCCCCAGAGTCTGTCAGTTCACCTTTAGGTACTGATTGCCTCCCCCCCCCCCCCTTTGACCAGATCTGGGGCCTGGGTACTGCCCTGAGCTTCTTTTGCTCAAGGCCAGCATTCTACCACTTGAGCCACAGCACCACTTCTGGCTTTTTCTGTTTATGTGGTACTGAGGAATTGAACCTAGGGCTTCATGCATGCTAGGCAAGCACTCTACCACTAAACCACATTCCCAAAGGCTGACCTTTGCTTTGCCATCCTGCCTCAGTATCCTGAGTGCTAGGATTACTGACACTGACCAAATAAATATTTGTGACTGATGATTAGGTGCCAAGTGTGGAGTATTATATTAAAACATTTTACGTCCATGGCAAGTCCGTGTAGTTCCCATTTTACAGATGAGAACAATGAGACCTAGAGGGTAAGCACTTGTTTGAAGTAGAAAAAGGTAAGGTTAGGTTGGTGAGCCTCCAAGGGTCTTGCTCCATCTTGCTGCCTCCATGTCTAGCAGGCCAGTGTGCCCCTCATTCTACTTCCCTGCTGAGGGGCTCACTCCAAGCTCTTCCCATCCTTTTACTCCCCTTCAGGGAGCCCATATAGGAAGTGCTGGTGTGAGCTGTGGCTCAGAAAGGCAACTCCATGGGCGATGCAACAGGTCCAGGCCTGGAGAAGGAGCAACCATGAGTGGAGGAGTGGAGAACTGTGAGGAAGCCCAGACTCTCCTTTTGCTTTCTCCACTCCCAGGTCCCCCTCCCCAGCTTCCCTTCCCCTCCCCCCCCCCAGTACCAGGTAGGTAATAAGGCTCAGGTAGGCTACAGCCAGCACAGCTACAAGGCCGAAGTAGGCAGGGTGCGGGAGGTTGGACACGTAGGTGACCACAAAGTAGAGGTTGACGGCACAGATTAGGGCCATGATACCAGAAGTGACAGCCTTGCTCAGCCTAGGGGACAGGAGAGAGACTCAGGACTGACTGGCTGAATACTCTTGAGTCACCTGCGTCCTCTTCTCCCCCTCTAACACCAGTGCCCCTAGCCAAGAACAGGGACACACAAAACCCTCATGTTTGTGCTGTGTGGCCTGGCTCCATAGTCTTCTCTGAGAAATCCAGGCTCCTTTCAAGCACAGCACACACGCTCCGGGGAAGGGCTAGGCAACATTCCGTAGCCATCTCCATGGCGGCTGCTCCCTGCAGGTCCTAGCCTGGGATTCCAGGGACCAGAGAGCCTAGAAACTGCCCTTACAGGGAGAGCTCAGGCTCTTGAAACAGGCTCTAGAAACAGGCCTCAGCTCCAAATTCAAAAGCTGTGTGACCCCGTGTGTAAGTTCTTGACCTCTCTGAGGCTCTGTTGCTTCCGGTAGATCAGGACAGTAGTTCCTCCCTCAGGCTGGTGGTGAGGATACTCACCGGCCGTTGGCAAACTCCTGCATGATGGCAGGCATGCTGGTGAAGGTCAGGATGGGCAGCACAGCAAAGGGAAGCTGGGGAGAAGAGAGAAGAGGGAGGTGGGGAAGGGAGGGATCCTCCTTTTCATGGATGGCTGTACCAAATGCCTTAAGCACTTTGAGCCTATCTTCTCTTGTCTATGCTTTCTGAGCAGAAGACAAAACGTAGAGGCTCTGAAAAATAAGGATGGTAGCAGGGTGCTAGTAGCTCAGGACTGTAATCCTAGCTATGCAGGAGACCTGAGGATCGAGGTTCAAAGCCAGCCCAGGCAGGAAAGTCCGTGAGACTTATCTTCAGTTAAATACCAGAAAAGTGGAAGTGGTGCTATAGCTCAAAGTGGTAGAGCACTAGCCTTGAGCTGAAGAGCTCAGGGACAGACAGCACCCAGGCCCAGAGTTTGAGGCCCACAACTGACAAAAAAAAAAAGGATGGTAACAGGGTGTGAGTGGCTCAAACCTGTAATCGTAGCTACTCAGGAGACTGAGATGTGAGGATCCCAGTCAAAACTAAGAGACTGTTATTTAAAATTAACCAGCAAAAAAAATCTACAAGTATAGGTGTGGCTCAAGTGGTAGAGCACTAGCCTTGAGTGAAAATGATGTGCTTTGAGTTCAAGCACATGTGCACACTTGAATACACACACACACACACAGGAAGAAGGTGGTGGTGATTCCTCCTCCCTAGGTGGCTGCAGATCCTGCCTGTGCGCCTCTAGGACAGTGCGTTTAGGATGGAGGCTGGCCTGGATGTGCCCCTCTCCCAAGCTCCATTTGGGGAAGGCTGCCATGTTCCTCCTTGGACCCCGGTCTCACCAGCAGGCTCTGAAGCACGTTGAGCAGATCGTTTAGGCCTGACAGGTCACTCAGGTCTCGGAAGACAGCCACAAGCACGGTGGGCAGGATGGCACAGGAGCGGGTTAGGAGGACCCGGGCAAAGCGGGACCAGCGCAGCCTCAGGAAGCCCTGGAGCGGGACAGCGTCAGGATCAGGGACTCCACAGGAGGGAGGATCTGTGTCATCTCAGCCCAGAGTTTTTCTGTTCTGAGGTGGAGGGCAGCTCGGACCCTAGTTGGAGAGGGAATTCTTTCCACAACACTCCTCCCCAGCCATGGCGCAAACTTAGCCAGTTTGGGGGAAAGGGCCCTCTGCTTGTCATACTATCTGCCGCTCCTGGAATGCTGCCTCCATTTTCTCGTCTGTAAAGTGGGGCTGGTGGGCACACCCTCTGGGTTGCTTTTGGGATGGGCAAGGCCGGTATCTGGACAACCCCCCCCCCCCCGCAGGAGTTTGCCTGTTGACAGTGCCCGTGGCTTTTCCCGGCCCACCTCCATCACGAACTGTCCCGCGTATGTGCCCGTCATGGTGGAGCTGTGCCCTGCGGCCAGGAGACCCACAGCCCAGATGTAGAGCGCTGCGGGGCCAAAGAGGCAGCCCAGGATCACACCCTGGAGGGACGAGGGTGTGGTCAGGACGAGGCCCCGCCCTCCTGCCACCGACCCCGCCCCGAAGTAGGCGGGCCATGGCGCGGCCACGCCCCCACCCTCGGGCGCTTACTCCACGGTAAATGTCCACCGACACTGTGGTGTTGTCCCTGGGGAAGATCTTGGCATAGTCGTGGAGGCTGCTGTTGGCACAGACGTTGGACTGCAGTCCCGGGGCCGGTGGGAGGGAGCGGGGAGGCACACTCAGCCTGGGCACACTTTGCCCAGTAGGGGTTTTTTTATTTGTTTTTTTCTTTTTTTCTGCTTGCCAGTTCTGGTGCTTGAACTCAGGACCTTACACTCTCATTTGGCTTTTTCGCTTAAGGCTGGCGCTCTAGCACTTGGACCACAGCACTTCCATCTTTTTGGTGATTAATGGGAGATAAGAATCCCACAGACTTTTTCTCTGCCCATCTGGCTTCCAGCTGTGATCCTCAGAGCTCAGTATCTGGGATTACAGGCATGAGCCACTGCCACCTGGCAGTTTTGTTCTTTAATATAATTTGTGGCCAGCGTTTAAAGTGGAGAAGAATTCATCTGGCAACTCGGTTGCCAGCCTGTCTCAGATTATAAGAGCTGGTGTTGCCAACAGAGACTTCTGATGCCCCATAACCTCCTCTTCCTCACACTTCCTCTTCCTCACACTTCATGACTCTCCAGCCTTTCAGCCACCTGAGGGTGGGGGGAGCAACAGGTAGACAGGGCTGGAAGTGTGCCTCACCACATCCTGGTTGGTTTGCTGGTAGAAGGCCTGGCCAAAGACAGCCATGACAAAGAGGTTGATGATGAAGGACACAGACAGGGCGATGGTGGCTTCAATCAGGAAGTACATGTTGGCTTCCCGGATGTCCCCCCGACGGGCTCGGTCTATATCCCGAGTCTATGAAGGTCAGAGAGTGACAGAAGTGTCCTTCAGAGGCACCCAAAGTGTCCCTACATTCACACTTCTATCCTTGTTCCCTCCAATCCCCAGTGTGTGTGTGTGTGTGTGTGTGTGTGTGTGTGTGTGTGTGTGTGTCCATCTGTGCCTGTGTGCCAATCAGTCCAGTCCTAGGCTTGAACTCAGGACCTCATCTCCTCTTGGCTTTTCCTCTCAAGGCTGATACTCTACCACTTGATCCGCACTTCCCCTTCTGGAATTTTCCTGGCTAACTGAAGATTAGAGTCTCACAGATTTGTCTGACTATCCTGGCTTCAAAGCACAGTCTACAAATTTCAGCCTCCTGAGTAGCCAGGATTACAGACGTGAGCCACTGGTGCCAAGCCCTGTTCCTTCTAAAGTTTCTCATGGGGCAGGCACTGGTAAGCCAAATGTGTGTGTGTGTGTGTGTGTGTGTGTGTGTGTGTTAATTGTGGGGTTTGAACTCAAGGCCTAGGCTCTGTCCTTGAGCTCTTTTGCTCAAGGCTAGTGCTCTACCACTTTGAGCCACAGCTCCTCTTCAGGTCTTTGAGTGGTTAATTGGAGATAAAAGTCTCATGGGTACTTTTCTGCCATGGCTGTCTACAAACCGTGATCCTCAGATCTCAGCCTCCAGAGTAGCTAGGATTACAGGCATGAGCCACTGGTGCCCAGCAAGCCAATTTTTTTCTACATCTTTGCCCTTGCCAGAGTCCTGGTCCACAGTGATCAACCATGTAATGAGAAAGATTGGCCTTTGGGATCCCTTTAACTCAGCCCCTAAAAGCTCTCTCTCCTTGGCCGTGCATGCTGTATCCTGAAACATGCCTGGTTTGTTTCTGCCTCAGGGTCTTTGCACTCATCATTCTTTCTGCTTCCAGTAGCTTTGCCTTGCCCAGTCCCGGTCTATCACACATCTGCTTTATCTCCTTGACAGTACCTTTTATAATCCATGCTCCCCCTCCCCCACTAGGATGCAAGTTCTCAGAGGGGAGGGGACTTGACTATTTTCAATGTTAATATATTAATCCCCAGCTTCCAACATCATTCTAGTTTGAATAGCTAGGGATTCATTTCTCACCTAAATTTTATTGTTTATTTATTTATTTATTTTTGTTCCGGTCGTAGGGCCTGAACTCTGGGTCTGGGCACTGTCCCTCAGCTCTTCAGCTCAAGGCTAGCGCTCTACCACTTGAGCCACAGCACCACTTCCGGCTTTTTTCCTTTATGCTTATGTGGTGCTGAGGAATCGAACCCAGGGCCTCAGGCATGCAAGGCAAGCACTCTACCACTGAGCCACCTTCCCAGCCCCTCTCACCTAAATTTTAAAAGGAGCCAAGAGGTGGGCCTCCATCTTGGAGACATGCTAGCCGAGCTGTGAAGGAGAGAGCATCTCCACCTCTCTCCTGGGCTCACCTTCACCAAGGCTGAGTGCAGGTAGATGTTGTGGGGCATGATGATGGCCCCAACGATGCCTACGGCTTGCAGAAGCTCGGGCTGACCGCAGCCCGGGCAGGAGGGCAGGAACAGACCCCGGAGGAGTGCTCCCTGAGCAGGGCGGGCCACCACGTACTGTGGGGAGGAACCTCATCAGCCCACTCAAGACAAAGTAGCGGACGCCACTCATCCCGCACCCCATCCCAGCTGCTTAGGGACTGGGCCGTGGGCCACTGTCCCCGGGCCTCAGGCCGCCCAGAAGGGAAGGAAGGGGAGGGATGCCAGGGGAGAGTGCAATGCCGACACCAACCTCATAGCCGAAGGTCACAGCCATAATGGTAATGAGAAATCCAAAGAAAGCTTCCAGCTTCCGCAACCCTAAAGGCAAGACCAAGGAACAGAAGGCACAAGACAAATCAAAAACCTGCAAGGTAAACAATTGCTAATGGCTAATATTTGGAGCTCTCTGTTCCAGGCAGCTAGCCAAGAGCTTAACATATATTACCTCCCTGAAGCTTCTCCACAGCCCCAAAAGGCTGTGCGATGCTTTTCCCAGAAAACCAGCACTTGCTCCCGCCACAGGGCCAGAGAGGGAGGGAGCCAAGGTGTCCCCCCTTCCCCAGTGGAGGGGGTAGCTGTCCCCAGCTGTGCTCCCTGGGGCTTCCTCGTCCCACCCCTGTGAAGCTGGCCTCCCCTTACCGTAGCTATCCAGAAAGAGGAAGAAGAACGTGTCCCCGATTGTGAACAGGACGCCACCCCAGAGCGGGATTCTGAAATCACAGTGGCCTAAGTCAGCCAGCCCCATCTGCTCCCCAGCCCGGAATGCCCGACCCCGAGGGGGGTGGGAGCAGGGGCCCGAAGGGAGAGGAGGTGTGCTGAAAATGGCAGGAACATTCCAGAAAGAGCAAAGCCACCTTGGGGACCAGAGAGCCTTGGGTTTCAATCCTGCCAGCTGTGTGGCTCCCATCCATGTGACTTTACCCAAGCCACCTTACATTCTGGGAAAGAGAGCAACAGCTTGATCTCCAAAGGAACAGCTGGATTAAATGGACTCAAGAAGGTAGGAGGCCTAGAGCAAGAGGTAGGAACCATCCCTAGCCCCAGACTGGTAAGTGGGTGGCCCCTGGGGTGATACCGTCCATCCGAGAGCAGATTGAATGCAATCGCAGTACCAATGACCTCCTGCATGTCTGAGCCCACAATGGCCAGCTCGATGGTCAGCCAGACCAGAGTGCGGGGCACCTGGGGAGGAGATGTTGCTTCTTTAAAAGTGGGCCAGTGATTTGACCGTTGCTTCACCCGACACCCAGCTTTTCACACTCGGCATGGTACTTCAGGGCTAGAAACCTCCAAACTACATTTGCAGGATGGTCTCGCAGCTGGCTTCCAGTTAGGTTTTGCAAGAAGTGCTTAATGGGAGATTGCTGTGGTCTGGATGTGGGTTACGTGTGGCACTCCTTTGAGGGAGAAGCCTTTGCTTGCGGGCTGGAAGCCTGGTCCCAGTGTAGAGATGCTGAGAAGGGGTGGAACCGTTAGAAGCTGAGCAGAAGTCAGAATTATGCTTTTGAACCTCTGGAAATGCTGAACTGTGAGCTAATTAAACTTTTCCTTCCTTCCTTCCTACCTTCCTTCCTTCCTTCCCTCCTACCTCCCTCCCCCTCTCTCCCTCCCTTTGCTCCTTTCTCTTTCTTTCTTTCTTTCTTCCCTTCCTTCCTTCCTTCCTTCCTTCCTTCCTTCCTTCCTTCCTTCCTTCCTTTCTTCCTTCCTTCCTTCCTATGCTAGGGGTTGAACCCTTACATATACTAGGCAAGGGCTCTATCCCTGAGATACATCCCCAGCTTAAACTTCTTTACCAGCTACCCAGCACCGTGTATTTTTTATCATATCCAAAGAAAAGGGACTAATTCAGAGATTGGAGCAGACAGAAACTACGTCCCTTGCTCTGGTGGCACCAGTGAGGACAGGAAATAATGTGAGTTCCAGAAGCAGTGGCTTTCATTGAAGCAGTGGCTGAAATGCTTCTAGAAACTCAGCAGCAAATGATCTCTTGACCCAGCCAGGGGTGGAGCTTTCTAAAATTTGTTAACATCTTCTGCCCTTGCTCTTTCAGCCCTTCCATAGGTCAAATGGCTAAATTCTCACATTAAATCCCTCTGAAAAAAAAAATCTTGCGCGCTGTGGTTTCTGTGTTCCTAAGTGGGCTGTGACTGCAGCCAAGTCCCCAGGGTCCAGCCCAACTGGATCCTGACACTGACAGCTTCCTATTGGTGCCTTGAGCAAGTCACTTCCCTAAAGTTTAATGTCTCCTCTGGTTTGTTTCTTTCTTTCTCTCTCCTTCCTTCTTTCCTTCCTTCCTTTTTTTATCAGTCGTGGGGCCTGAACTCTGGGCCTGGGCACTGTCCTCAGCTCTTCAGCTCAAGGCTAGCGCTCTACCACTTGAGCCACAGCGCCACTTCCGGCTTTTTCTGCTTATCACTGAGCTGCCTTCCCAACCCCCTTCCTTCCTTCCTCCCTTCCTGCCTGCCTGCCTTCCTTCCTGCCTGCCTGCCTGCCTTCCTTCCTTCCTTGCCTGCTAGTGCTAGTACTGGGACTTTAATCCAGAAGTGCTCATTGTTTTTGCTGGTCGTGGGGCCTGAACTCTGGGCCTGGGCACTGTCCCTCAGCTCTTCAGCTCAAGGCTAGTGCTCTACCACTTGAGCCACAATGCCACCTCCAGCTTTTTCTGCTTATGTGGTGCTGAGGAATTGAACCCAGGGCCTCATGCATGCAAGGCAAGCTCTACCACTGAGCCACCTTCCCAGCACGCAGAAGTTCTCATTCTTGCTGAGCTGTTTCACTCCAGGCTGATGATGTTCTACCCCTTGAGCCTCACCTCCACGTCTGGCTTTTTGATAGTTAATTGGAGATAAAAGTCTCTCAGATCAGTCTGCCTGGACTGGCTTCCTACCTTGATCCTCAAACCTCAGCCTCTTGAGTAGCTGGGATTGCAGGAGTGAGCCACCAGCACATGGCTTTTGTTTTTTGCGACAGTTGCACTATGTAGGCTAGGATAACGTTGAATTCACTATGTAGCCCAGGCTGATCTTGAACTCTCACTCCTCCTTGGTGCAATTTCCTTCTCTGTCCCTCTCAGCCTATTAGTACTAGTAGTTTGAGTCTGTCTTTTCATCTGTCAGCTGGACTTGGGAAGCCCAGGTAAGATCATATGATATATTTATTCATTCATAGAATTTCAGGCTTCCTGTTGCCCTCTCTCTACCTCCCCCCCACCCCAACATACACAGCTCACCTTAGGATAGTAGAGATGGCAGACCTCACCCAAGTCCTTGCCTGTCACCACGCCTAGCCGGGCAGCCAGTCGCTGGCAGAGCAAGCCCAGCACAGTGGCCCAGAACAGCACCCAGAGCAGCTGTGAAGAGGCCCAGGAGGCCGTCAGCCAGGGAGGCCCATCCAACATAGGCCCTCAAAAGCAAGGACACTCTACAGGGAGAGGATGGGAGGGTGGAGTGGATGACCAGCCCCAACCTTTGGCTGGGCCCTTACCACGGGGCCCTGTTCTGGCCTATTGCAACCATCCCTGTAGCCACCCTGAGGACACAGGACAAGTTGGGGTCTCCACCCTCTTAGCCTGATCTCCCCCTTCCTTCAGGATCCCAGCTCAGCACTTTGAATCCAGCCACAGCACCAGCCTGAAGGTCCGACTCAATGTTCCCCGGGTCCAGAAAAGCGATGCTCATGAGGAAGCCAGGTCCTGTGAAGGCCCACAGCTTCCGCAGGCTAAATGTGCCCTGGGGGGTGCAAACAGAGGGAGGGGGTGGGCTCTGGGTACTGTGCTGGTGGCAGCTGGCCATGGCCAGCCTCCTTCTGAGCCTCCACCAGCTCCCCCCCCCCCCAGCCCAGGCTGGCTGGCCCTGCCCTCCCTAGCTAGCCCTGAGCCCTCCCCGGCCTGGAGGAGGACAGTGGGTAGAGGAAGCATGTGATTGCAGAGTCACAGCAGGGTGTGTTGAGTCATGATGGATCCGCTTTTGGATCTGTCTCTATCATGGTCCCACTCAGCAAGCACAATATACTTGACTTCTGGCCTCTCCTAGGCCTGACTCAGGTTCTCAGAGCCTGGAGAGCAGCCTTAGTGGGGACAAGACTTCTGAGTCCAACTTCTTCCTGTCCAGTCCCTTCTCAGACCACAAGGCCTCCTCTGTGGAGACTCCTGTGTGGAGGCCAAGCCC